AATAAAAAGATTAGAAGCAACTGTTTGACAATAAGTACTATATATATTGTCTGAAAACTTTTTTTATTATGTAATTTATTTATTAAATCTGCATGATAGTTACTAAACTACTCTGCAATATATCTTCATTAGTCAGTGATATATCTCTAATAATATTGTCTCTTGAAGTTTTGTTTATTTTATAACAATTTATTAATAATCTCCCGTTTTTTTCATTATTGGTGTAGTTATAAGATGTTGAGATAGTTATGTTTTCTGTGATCTTATTTTACTTGTTACTTTGTTTCTACTTTCACATTTCCACCTGTAATTTACATTTGTATTATTTCTATAAATTATCCATGATCTTTCACACTCTTTGATAGTTTTATTTCATTAGTCGTCCATTCTCAATCTATTCTTTAATTTTTATTTTCTTCTCCTTAATGCTTTTAGCTGGCATAAACTGCATAAAGTGTTGTAAATATATCATAAACGATTGAGAGCTACTAATGTTACTATTTAATTCATACCAGTCAAGTTTAGAAATTCTTCCTTTAAAAACATTTTCTAATAATTTTTCAAATGTTGTATTAATTTGTTCATTATTATTATAACATGATCTCCCCTTTCACTGATTTTAGTAATAACTGTAGTTGTCTATTAACTTCTGCCTGATATTTTTTCAATGTTTTCATTAAACTCATCATACTGTTTATATAAAAAGAAAACATTAATTTTTTTAAATATTTGACATTTTCACTTTCAGAACAAGCCATAAACTTAATTTTCCATTTATTTCTCATAACAATTCTGAAATACTACCAGAATCTATGCTTTAATGATTTCTTCCAAATGATTTTTCTAGTTGATTTGGTTTGTAGCTAACGTCATTTGTTTCTTCCTATACATGTTTCAAGTTGTTCTTCTACTGGATACACAGAAGAAACGTTTGCTGATACGTTCATTTTAACACTTGCAATATAGAAGAAACGTTTGCTGATACGTTCATTTTAACACTTGCAATATAGAAGAAACGTTTGCTGATACGTTCATTTTAACACTTGCAGTTTGCACTCAACTATGTATGTTTTTTATTGTTTGATAACATCCTATAATTGACTTCAGATATGTTAATACACTTGAAGAGATAATTACCTTTACAGTTACTGTTACAATAAATGTACCCATTATTTGCATTGAGCATTTTTCATATTCACACAACTTTTAAAAAGTGCCAGTTCTTACTTCTCAATTAACCTAAAATTGAACAATATTCATTTTTTGTGTTATGACACTTAAGGGATTTGTGCTGTTTGATTTGTGAACTATTGGTAGAGCTGCTTGATACTTTGCACCAGAAAGCCCCAAATACAATCCAAGTACTATGTAGTTTAAATTCCTAGTTGTGCAGCCAGTACCACTAGTAGTAAGTCTATGGATTTAACATGGAAATTTGGGGTTTGGTTCCCCAGGGTGGACACAGCAGATAGCCCATTGTGGCTTTGCTCTACAATCGAACCTAACCAAGCCACTACAAGTTTATCATGTGAAATAATCAAACAGTGATAACAAATATTGACTAAACATAACTTGCATTCATTACTCAGTACTTTTTAACTCCAAATGTTCATTACAATCATTTTTTATTATTTGTTTTATATTTTTCACATTTTAAGTGAAGTCTTATTCATGAGTAACTAAGGCTAGGCATGTTGATTTACCTTGACCAACTTGCTGTCTGGCTGATTCTTGGGCAAGTCTAAATTTAGTTAAGGCTCATCAATTTTTAACATCAACACATTTTTAAGAACTTCCCTTTCATGTGTCTACATCATATACATTAAAATTCATGAATACTAAGAACTTGAGTAATATTAGAGAAGATTGTTACAGTATGCCAACCATATTGTCATATTTATTGTTGACTAGGCCTTTCACCTAATACTAGGGTTATCAGGCTGGCTAGTGTTGAACATGCTTAGTAGTAGTTGAGAAGCTACATTTCAGGAACAATAACTGCTATTTCTTTGTGTGAGTATTACAGTAATGTGGTTATACTTTTCAAGGATTTGGTTGTTACCTGTTACAAGACAAGCTCTTGACATTCCTATTTGTACTAGGAAATAAAACTATTCTTTTAATCACTTCAATGGAGATCATAATTTTAATTATTTTAGATATGTTTAACCTAGGGTAGTCTAGCTTGTAGTGCCTACAGTGCAATGTAGATCACTTTGGTCCATATATAACTTGATTTAACCTTTCCTCCTATTTGACCTAAAGCAGGGGTGTTAAAAGTACTAAAATATGTTACTCAAGTTTGAGTAATAGTAACCATTCTGGAGTTTACTTAAGTTAGAGTAAAAAGTATCTACTGAATAAGTACTGAAGTAACAAAAGTAAAAAAGTACACTCATCTGCAGTTCTCTCAAACCCTACATGTATGTTTCAGGTCATGAGGTCTAGAAACAAAACCCAAACTACATAAGTTACCAGTGATGTAAAATTTGTCATTCTTTTAGTTAACTAGAACACATTTGTTGTATATAATTGGTTACTATGGTATTCACAACTACACTTAGGGTTTCAGCCAGCTCGTGCAGGCAACTGTGCATGAACTCATTACAACAGTAATGCCAATAAGTAATATTATGCAATCTTATTGTTTCAGATTAAACTATATAAGGAATTAAAAAAACAAATGTATACATTCAACCAACTATATTATTCAAAATATTTCTTGTTCAGTTTGATAAGCAACTGATTTTCAAAGTTGCCACAGTCAAGCCTTGCATGCAGAAGCCTAAAAATCTGCCCAGTACAACTGAAGAGACGCATGCAGGCAGCAGAGCAGGGAGTGGCATGTTCAAACATATGGCTATATCGGGTAGGCTGGGGAAAGACTTGAAAATCTCCATGCTATTAACAGAGCATCCCCAGGTAGTATGCCTCTATGTCCCTCTTCCCAAAGCTACGCTATGGCTTCAAAGTTCCAGCGCATGCCTTGCGTTTTGACTGCCTACCACAAATTTGCATTTTTGAGAATATTAACGAAATGTATAAAATGAAAGGTAGTGGAGTAAAAGTACAAGTAATTCTCCAAACAATTTCTTTAGTTAGAGGTCCGGCATGGCCAGGTGGTTATGGTGCTCAACTCGCAATCTGCAGGTCCTGGTTCGAATCCCCATCCCACCAAACATGTTAACCCTTCTAGTTGTGGGGGCATTATAATGTGATGGACAATCCCACTATTCGTTGGTAAAAGAGTAGGTCAAGAGTTGGTTGTGGGTGGTGATGACTAGCTGCCTTCCCTCTAGTCTTACACTGCTAAATAAGGGATGCGTAGCACAGATAGCCCTCATGTAACTTTGTGTGAAATTAAAAAAAAATTTAGTTAGAGTAAAAGTATTTGAAAATATAGTTTTTTAAAAAGTATATACTGAATAAAGTAAAGTTACCTTGACACCCCTGACATAGTCTACCTTGATGTAGTCATCTATCTTGTCTTTAGTGTCCAAGAGATCCTGAACCACCTGAACAGATAACATCCAGTGATATAACTTGGAATAGAAGTGTTGGTTAGCAAGACAGAAGTTCACAAGATATGAGTAAAGTCAGAACAGTATTCATAAAACAATGTGATTCCAATTAGTACACAACAAACCAAATGGAGAACTAAAACACCATTTACAACATATCCTGTAAATACGGATAATAGATTTGAAGAAAAAAAAAATAGAATTGATTGTATAAGACACTTGATGATCTTTTAATACTGGTCTATCTGCAGTAGTAAAACCTAACAATATTTAGGAACAACAAGGAACATATTGATCCATCTAGGCTGTCCCATCCTCTAAACTAAAACTAATTAAAAAAAAAAAAAAAAAGTCAAAGCTAGCCCTCATCATACATATAGTTATCAAGATTTCTCTAAAACTCATTTAAATTAGCTGCCTTCACAACATCCAAAGGCAACCAGTTCCAAGGACCAACCACCCTGTTAGAATAATAACTGTCTTTACTGAAGATGACTCCTACCCTGCCAAAATTTATTTGTTCCATAATCTTATCATTATCACCATTAAGTATGAAAAATTGATGATGCATCAACACTATCAATTCCCTTTGTGGAGCTTTAGCCCCACACTTTATATTGTAAGTGTGTGTGTGTGTGTGTGTAATATATATTACCTTAAAAGCAAATACAACTAAAACTCAAATAAAAACTTTACTTAAATTTCAAAAAATCCAACTTAAAAACACAACCACATGGTTTGATCCCTGTAAATTCAGGATATACACTTTTGTTTAATTTATTGCTGCCTAATTTACAAGAACTACAAAGAATAACAGTAATTTGAGTGTGGGATTTTGCACTGGAATTTAAAATTTAATTTAAAATGCAGGGTTAGCTTTTTCTGACTTGTCGCTGTTTCTCGGACTGTAATGTCATCAAGCAGTAGACTTGGCCTCATTGTAATCACTCATGTCAGCAGCACAAGTAAAAACTGCCACCAAACAACCAACACAATCATCAGTTCTCACTAAATAATATATACAATTACAACAAGTGTTACTTAGGGATAAAATATTATGTATCCAAAAGTATTTAGTGTTAAGGCAAATAGATTTTTAGTTGGGCAAGTAGAGATGATCTCCCTCATGCTCTAGGGAGGTGGCTTAAAAGTTAATGTCTACTCCTGGATACCCCTCTTGAAAGCATTCAGAGTTAGTTCATTAAAGCCCCATTGGTGGAAACCCTATACCACACCAGCCTATCATGAAGAATCAGTTTTGAATCCTGGTTACTACTGTCACAGAAGCAGTCCTTTTCAGGATTTCGCTAAGATTGAAGCAGATTAGCATTTGAAACATAAGAGAAAATCTACTTAGTAATTACTAAAACTTCCTTTCATTTATCAATTCATATTATGTTGGTTGAAGAAGATTCTCCAAGTTAGAATTATGTTTATTTTATTTGAAAAGGTTTTCTAATAAATTGTACTTTTTTAAAGACTCATCAAGATCGGCAGTTAGAAACGTGTCCTTTCAATGCTCAACATCGTATTGAAAAGGAATTAAAACATGATCATATCATGAATTGTCCAGATCGAGCCGCGGTGGATCGAGAAATTGCAATGTCAGCTAATGGTAAATTTTTTCCATGTTCTCTTTGACTTCAAATATTAAATGAATAAAACATAAATAACACTGAAATGTATACATGCATGTACTGTTTCAGTTTTAGAGTACTGAATGCTACTGATTAAATGTGTGTACTGTTTCAGTTTTAGAGTACTGAATGCCACTGATTGATTGTGTGTACTG